GAGAGATTGGCCGAATAATGAGGAAAAATGTTTTAAATCTATTATAAAAGAAACAAATGAATGAAGTTGACTCTTAAGGTAGTGAAAAATATGAATAAAGGGTGGAGGGAAACTCAGCTTAGGAGGGGCTGTGGAACGACCGGTCACTGGAGTTAGTGACTGGGGAGGGGTCGAGTCACCCACCCGCTGGAGAGCGAAGATAACTTGCGGCTCTGGGAGAGATCTGGGATCAAACCCATGTTCGCACCCCTTCCCAGCAGGGACCGGCTCCACTGACACGTGCCAGTGGGAACTATTTCCTGGCGGGTCGGACACATGGCTCAGGCCACACGCCAATGTTCTCACTCCCGGGAGTGCCCCCATTCATGTCAGCGAGACCAGTGGTGTGTGTGTGTATGGGGGGGGGGGGGAGTAGGTTGTGCTCGACCTTGGTGCGTGGGGGAGATTCCCATGGACCCGTGGAGTTAAAAGCTGGTGTCATATGTGCATCCACCCTGATGCCCCTTCTCATGCCCGTCCCACAGCTGTGCTCTGGGTGTGTCACTCCTGCCCCCCACTGCCATGTGAACAGGAATGATACAACCCTGCAGTGAGCACGAGGCAGGGCAGCCCCTGGCTCACTGGAGGGGGTGCGGGTTGGTGCTAAAGGAGACGATATAAGGTTACTGGGGTTAAAGGGATATTTATTATCCACCTCTCTGCACCTCAAACTACTGACATCGTTGTAAAAACTGGGACAGGGACAATGAGTCAGAATCAGACATGGGGGAAGAAAGTGAATTGTGATATCGGAATGGTGAGCCCCGGGTGGGAGGGAGAGGAAGTGAGAGGGGATTTAGGGAGGGGCGAAGTTACTCTCATTTTTTGGGTCATGGCGTTGTCCCACTCGGGTGCACGATCCCCAGAAAAAAGCAGGGAGGTCTCAGCTCCCCCCAGCCAGAAGTGCCTGAGTGGTCACGGTTTTACTGTTTGTCAAATATCCCACCATTGCATGTCTGGGGGATGGTTCACCAGTCCAGGGCAGATGGACTCAGAAGGAAAACGAGAAGCCCGGAGCAGCAGACACCAGGAAATGCCTCAAGCGTTGGACTCCCTGACTCTGTCCTCACCTCTCACCTGTGGGTCTCTGCTTCTCCCTGCGACACAGCCTCTGCCTGAGAGAGTCCAGTCAACCTGTTGGAACCCACTCTAGCTGGGTGTCAGCGCAATCCCTGGGTTATTCGTGCAGATAAGGTCTGAGGGTTGGGGACTTTTATCTCCCTGGTCGCTACATTAAATTTGGGAAATCTATTGTGGGTTGGCTCCTTAACTCTGCCCACTGACGTCAGCGGAGGTGCTGGAATGCCATCTTCAGAACCCCAGCCCTGCCTCGTATTTCCAGGGGAGCTGAGCGGGCTGTGTTCAGGAACTGAGTGATCCCTGAGCCACAGGCTGAGCTGATGCCATCATGAGTGACACTGCAAGGGAAGGGAAGGAAAGGGTTAAAACCTGGTAGCTGGTTTTCATTATCCCTATTCCCAGGCTTCACTGCTGTGCCTCGCGCTGAGTTGTTTATGCACCACCCTATACCAGAAACCTACTGACCGCTCTACTTACCTACACGCCTCCATCTTTCATCCAGACCACAGCACACGATCCATTGTCTACAGCCAAGCTCTAAGATACAGCCACATTTGCTCCGATCCTTCAGACAGAGACAAACACCTACAGAATCTCTATCAAGCGTTCTTAAAACTACAATACCCACCTGCTGAAGTGAAGAAAGAGATTGACAGAGCCAGAAGGGTACCGAGAAGTCACCTACTACAAGACAGGCCCAACAAAGAAAGTAACAGATCACCACTAACCGTCACCTACAGTCCCCAACTGAAACCTCTCCAGCGCATCATCAAGGATCTACAACCTATCCTGAAGGACGATCCCTCACTCTCACAGACCTAGGGAGACAGGCCAGTCCTTGCCTACAGAAAGCCCTCCAACCTGAAGCAAATACTCACCAACAACTATACACCACACAACAAAAACACTAACCCAGGAACCAAACCCTGCTACAAACCCCAGTGCCAACTCTGTCCACATATCTATTCAAGGGACACCATCATAGAACCTAACCACATCAGCCACACCATCTGGAGCTCATTCACCTGCACATCTACTAATGTTATATATGCCATCATGTACCAACAACGCCCCTCTGCATGTACATTGGCCAAACCAGACAGTCTCTATGCAAAAGAATAAATGGATACAAATCAGACATCAAGAATTGTAACATTCAAAAACTAGTAGGAGAGCACTTCAGTCTCTCTGGTCACTCAATAACAGACCTAAACGTGGCAATTCTTCAACAAAAAAACTTCAGAAACAGACTCCAACGTGAAGCTGCAGAACTGGAATTAATTTGCAAACTGGATACCAACAGATTAGGCCTGAATAAAGACTGTGAGTGGATGTGTCATTACAAATCCTAATCTTAATTTCCCCAATACTAATTTGTCCCTACTGGTACGTGCACCTTCTTGTCAACTGTCTGTAATGGGCCACTCTCTTACTCCTTCAAAAGTTATTTTTCCTCCCTTGGTATCCTGCTGTTAATTGATTTATCTCGTTAGACTGACCTCAGACTTGGTAAAGCAAGCCCCATCCTTTCATGTGTTTATACCTGTTCCTGTATTTTTCCCTTCATGTATCCGATGAAGTGGGTTCTAGCCTGTGACGTTATTGACATAAACTAGAACCATATAGATCATTGTTGCAACCAAGGTCCTGTAGTGGCACCCAAATCTTGTATAAAGGGGGTCAAATGGGGTGTCTAAGACAAGGTTATGGTTTACTGGTTATGATTATGCTGTCTATATGTGTGTATCAGTTTTGTAGTTGAAGTTATGAATATTGGCTCTATACTGTCTGTATGGCAAACTTATGCTATGCTTCTGGGTGACATCCCAGACAAGCTGAGATTAGCTCTTCCTAGCCTGCTTGATGGCCCATTAAGAACCATCAGCTATACAATGGACCGATTGAGAGAAGGTAAGTATGCCTTCAGACTCAGCAAAGTATGCAGGAACTTGCCCCTGTGACTCCAGACTCCATTTTGCTGTAATTTTCCACAGTAAGAACAAAGAGGTGATCTTACACCTGGAAAAGACTATATAAGGCGGATGCCTCATCTCCATCTTGTCTTCAATTCTGCTTCATACCTCTGGAGGAACTTTGCTACACTGAAGCTTTGAACAAAGGACTGAGGACCCATCCCAGCGGGGGATGTATTCCAGAGACTTGATTTGAACCTGCAGTTTATTCCATCGCTGCTGCAAGCCTGAACCAAGAACTTTGCCATTACTATATATAATTGATTCCATTTAACCAATTCTAACTCTCATCTCTATCTTTTCCCTTTTATGAATAAACCTTTAGATTTTAGATTCTAAAGGATTGGCAGCAGCGTGATTTGTGGGCAAGATCTGATTTGTATATTGACCTGGGTCTGGGGCTTGGTCCTTTGGGATCAGGAGAACCTTTTTTCTTTTATTTTGGTATTGGTTTTCATAACCATTTGTCCCCATAACTAGTGGTACTGGTGGTAATACTGGGAAACTGGAGTGTCTAAGGAGATTGCTTGTGAGACTTGCGGTTAGCCGGGGGGTGAGACCGAAGTCCTCCTAGTCTGGCTGGTTTGGTTTGCCTTAAAGGTGGAAAAACCCCAACCTTGGGCTGTAACTGCCCTGTTTGAGCAATTTGTCCTCAGTTGGCACTCTCAGTTGGGTTCCGCCAGAACTGCATTGTCACATAGCCCATGAAAGTTTATGTCCAAATAAAGTTGTTATTCTCTAAGGTGCCACAAAGACTACTCAATGTTTTTGTTGATACAGACTAACATGGCTACCGCTCTGAAACCTGCTGCCCCTATGTGTCTGTCAAGGCTGTTTCCCCACTCTGACACTTCCAGTGCAGAAGGTGGGGACCCGCAAAAGACCTTAAAATACTTGCCACTAAAGGCTGCATTAAAACTCCCCAAGGTTACAGATTCCCTGGCCTTGGACCGGTATCACTGCCACCTCCCAAATGCAAACACTGCTTTGAGAACTCAGGAAGGAACACTTGGAAATTACTTCTTGTGAGGTACCCTGAGGCTCTTTTAACCCTCCCTCTGGAGCAGAGGTGGGCAAACGCTTTGCCCCGAGGTCCACATGGGGGAATAGAAATTGTATGGAGAGCCATGAATGCTCACAAAATTGGGGTTGGGGTGCGAGAGGGGGTGTAGGCTCTGGGGTGGGAATGAGGAGTTTGGGGTGTAGGAGGGTGCTCTGGGCTGAGACCAAGGGGTTCAGAGGGTTTGAGGGGGGTCACGGCTGGGACAGAGGTTTGCAGGTTCTCGCTGGCAGGGCAGGCTCTGGGGTGGGGTTCGTGATGATAGGTTTGGAGTGAAGGAGGGTTCTTCAGGCTAGGATCAAGGGATTTGGAGGGTGGGAGGGGGATCAGGGCTGGGGCAGGGAGGGGCTTGGGGAGAGGCTCAGGGGTGCAGGTTCTGAGCGGTGTTTACCTCAAGTGGCTCCCGGAAGCACCGGCATGTCCCTTCTCCGGCTCCTATTTGGAGGCACAGCCAGGGAGCTCTGCATGCTGCCCATCCACAGGCACCACCCCTGCAGCTCCCATTGGAGAGTGTAGGAGCCAGAGCGGGGCCATGCCGGGGCTTCCGGGAGCCACGTGGTGCGGCCCCCAACTCTGTGCCCAGCTGGAGCGGGGACGAGCCGTGGTGCAGCTCGTGTTCCGGCCCGTGGGCTGTAGTTTGCCCACCCCTGATATAGAGGCAACATAATATTTTCTGTCCTATTATCTATCCCTTTCTTAAAGATTTCCGGCAGAGTAAAGTTTAACCATTTCAAGCGGAACACACTCCGGAACTTGTCTCCCGTGAGAGCCCAGTGCCCGGACTGTCAGTGTCACAAACCAGCTAGAGACTTCCCCTGCTGATCGCAATGGGAGGTTTTAGTCTGAGCTCAGACCGGCTTCCCCGCACTGTGTGTTTCTCTGACACAGTGATACCGGCCGGTGTCCTCGGGCTTCAGGCTGTTCATCTGCAGGTAAATCAGCTTCTTGGAGCTGTCTGTGGAGGTGGTGAATCGCCCTTTCACGGAATCTCCGTACTGCGCATCTGCTCCCTTAATTGCTGATACCCACTCCAGCCCCTGCCCGGGAGCCTGCCGGAGCCAGTGCATCCAGGCGTCCTCAGCAGAGGAGGCGAAGCCGAGGTGAGCTGGGGCGGGCTCCCCAGGCAAGGTTAGCTGCCGCGGCGGGAGTCTCCTCAGACGGGGTTAGCTGCCACGGCGGGAGTCTCCCCAGACGGGGTTAGCTTCTGCGGGGGGGAGGGGGTCTCCCTGATCGGGGTTAGTTGCAGATGGGGGGTAGCTGCTGCCCAGTGCTGGGGAATAAAAGGAGTGGAAAAGGTTTGAACTCTGCAAGGGTTTAACAGACTCTCACCCTCTGGTGTGGCCCCATCAGCGAAGTGGCGTATGCTCTGTCTACAGGCCCAACCCTGACGCCCCTGAAGTGGGACGACTCTCCTCTTCACAGTCAGGGAAATGGTGTAATTGCTGTCAGGGTTTGACAGCACGGAAAGGAACCTGCCCCGCTCTGCCAGGCTTTCTACGCTCTCACCTCCCCACATTTACAGGGACAGGCAAGAACCGGTATCTGAAAGGTGTTTGTTGGTGTTCACAAAAAAACAAAAACTAACAAACAAAAAAACGTTGAGAAACCCTCAGTTCCCTGATTCCCCCTCACCTCCCCCGGCTCCTCCCCAGACATCCCTTTCTGATTTTCTGATATTGGTTTGAAAGTGCGGATTTCATAGTTTCACTGGGTGTGAAGCGCTCTGTTCTTGTCATGGCTGGGGTGCATCGAAAGGGGAATGAGGACCCCAGGGGAGCAGCCACCAGCCCTGCGCTCTCTCCTCCTAATTCCCTCGGACACCTCCCCTCCTGGGTGCTGCTTTTCTCGGCACGATCCCAATAAGCCCTGGACCCGTACTAGCCCACTGCCCTCAGTGCCAACACTTGGTAGTTCCCTGCAATTAAGGGCTGTTGGTTGAGACCTTTATCTCCACGGTCACTAGATTAAATTGCTGGAACTATATCGCAGGCTGGATCTTTGGCTCTGCCCTCGGACAGCAGCAGAAATTCTGGACCGTGATTGTCACTTGTGAGGTGGGTTCCTTTATCCATGAGGCCCCTGTGAAAATCCCAGCCCTGCCCCATGTTTCCAGGAGCAGCTGAGCAGGGTTTCTTCAGGAACTGAGCGATCTCTGCACCTCAGGCCCATCGGGACCTGGCGTAGCAGTGGGTGACAGAGACCACCAGTTATAGGGTTTCAAACTGACGGCAGCTTTTATTCACCACTGGTGTTGGAGGGGAAAGTTCTCAGGGGATTGGCTGGTAAGTGCACAGACACAGGGGGAAGCAGATTGTCTCTCCGGGTGCAGCCTGGGCAGAGAGAGACAGATTTAAACAGTGAGCTGGTGGTCCTATATGCATATCCACCATGTTATAGGAGACACAAATTCTGTTGTG